CTTTTCGCTCAGCATTATACTCTTCTAAATGGTTTTATTTTTATGTACAGTATGTTAGATGTGTATTGGGTTTGAGTGTGAAATGTTCCCCTACACACTTAGTCTCCAGTTGGTGGGGCTGCCTGTAGAAGCTCTGGAGTCTAGGAGCTTAGTCCTAGACTTACCCACTCCCCAGGTTCCAGCCTCCTCTCTGCTTCAGGATGCAGGCTGTGCCTTCGCTGCCGTGATAGGCTGAGAGCCTCTGAAACCCAAGTCACCCAAGTCTTTCTCCCTTGGGTTGTCCTCCCAGATGTGCTCACAGCCACACGAAGGGAACCACGTCCTATTCTGTTGCATTTTGGTTTGGTTTTGCTTAGTTAACCCGAGAGCTACCACGTTTCTATAGGGTCCAGATCCACCTACAGTTTTCATGGTCATCTGGTCTTCCATCCGACGGCAGAATCACAAATTAGCCAGCTCCCAGGGGTGATTACTCATCTGTCTCTGTCATTTGTTACTAATTAATACTGGAGGGCAACCCCTAGCTATCATTTTGGTGGCCAGGAAAGATGTGTGCAGACTTCATTCTAATAAAAAGTAAAACTCCCCTTCTGAAAGGCTGCACTCAGGCACTAGAGAGACGGCTCAGGGATTACGAATTAATTCTTGCTGTTCTTAAAGAGGACCAGAATTTGGTTCCCAGCACCCATGTCAGGATGCTCACAACCTTCTGCAACTCCAGCTCCAGGGGATGTGATGCCGTCTTCAGACCTTCACAGGCACTACACTCCTTACACAGACACTTACACAGATAAACACATACACATAACATTAACCTTTTTAAATACAACCTTTAAAAGGCTGTGCTAATTCGCAAGCTACTCTAAGAAGTACTACAGTTTTTCTGCATTTATATTTACATAAATATTGTCAGCTACTTGCAAGGATATTCTGTAACAAATCATTAATCTAAATATTAAGTATTGGACATCTTCAACTTTAGTTAAGGGGGAAACACCCAATTGGTTATTCACTCTTTCTTAATTAGGGCTGAAACGGGTGTATTAAAACCTGGAAATCTGTCTTCTCGGTATGTGTCCCACTTGTCTCTCTGCCTGTTTCTCACTGGTCTGTCACTGTGTTCATGACTTTAGGAGCTCTTGTAAATTAAGGGAATTTAATTTGCATTACAAGTATTTTCTTCCTTGCTTTAGTTAACTTTTGACTTCATTAATTCTCTTTTTCAAAGACAAAACGTCTGGTTTTTCATCTAGAAAAATATTATGTCTTTGGGGATAATCAACAGAATTTAGAGACTAATGCCCAGTTCTATGTCTTTCCACCTTCAACGGGCCCATGCTGCTGTCTGGCCACTCAAGGGTTTCCTAGTGTCTGCCAGTTCCCCATCAGATTCAAGATCCGCTACCTCTGTGTGGCTGGGAATGGGGAGAGAGCTAAAGATGAGAAGGACATGAATGAAGCCTCGGCAGGTCATCTATAGACTCTGGTCCAGATACACAAATAACTCTAGTAAGGGCTGGAGTGGGGAGGCAGGAGAGGAATGGTGGCTAGAGAGCCATGGGAAACATGCTGGGGACATAGAGAGCCAGGGAAGACATTCTGGGGACATAGAGAGCCAGGGAAGACATGCTGGGGACATAGAGAGCCAGGGAAGACTTGCTGGGGACATAGAGAGCCAGGGAAGACTTGCTGGGGACATAGAGATCCAGGGAAGACTTGCTGGGGACATAGAGAGCCAGGGAAGACTTGCTGGGGACATAGAGAGCCAGGGAAGACTTGCTGGGGACATAGAGAGCCAGGGAAGACTTGCTGGGAACATAGAGAGCTGGCCTGAAGGCTCACTAGAGTGGTGGGAAATTAAGTCCATCTTCACAGTCTTATGTGATCTATGCATACACCATTCAGCCTGCCCTGAGTTTAGTAGCACTCACCCAGTTTAACTAAAGTCATGAATTTGCAACAGGTCAAAGGACAAAGAATACATTTCATTCCCCACAGCACAGAAGGGCTTTTCACATGTGTTACTGTTGGTAACATTCCACTCTGATGATAGAGACGGTACTGAGCATGGAAGCTGTCAGGGCAGCTCTGACTGCACACTTAGCCTATTCCAGGGTCCTGAAGATGAAGAACTCTCACACAGAAGCATGGCTCTGGTTTTCGTTTATTTTTATTTTACACATAGAATAACAAGATAAACATGCTTGTCCACAACTCCTGGGGTAGAGCCCTAAGGAGGATCTCATCCTAACAAACGCATCTGAAAAGCTCTTTCAGGCAGAGGCTGTGTCCAGGGCTCCAGTGCTGAGCCTCAGAGCAGGAGGAGTCAGAGGAGAGGGAGCCTGCTTCCAGGGAGGACTGTGTGGTGGATAAAACTGTCTTAGGAATAGATTGTGTCCAGCATCATGAATGTAAGCAATGCCACTGAATTCAACACTTGAAAACTATCAAAAGTTTATGTATTTAACACCAAAAAAACAACAACAAATTCTACAATCAAATATCAGAAATATATTTGAAGATATTGTTCATACCACCAATATCTCTTGCAGCTTCACGAGGTAACTAACATTTTATTCTGGGATTGTATGTCTATTTAAATATGAATGACTTAGTCATAGATAACTCAGAGCAAATCCAAGGATGCTTTGTAACTGAATATGAGACACTCTGGGACAATGACTCTTTGCAATGAACACTTGCAGGTAAAGATACATGGACAAGAAGGTTTACTGTGTGACTATGTCACACTGCAGTTTCTGGATGAGATTATTTTCCCTCTTTGCTGCAAGGGCAGAGGGCAAATAAGCAGGGGCATGAAATGAATGAGACTGAGGCGCATGTTGTGAAACACAAAGATTAAGTAAAAAGAATGTTTAAAAAGAAAAGCTAGTCTGGTGGACATATAAAGCGATGAGACAATTTCAGCTGCTTATGGACTTCACAGTCCATCTTTACAGTGGCCAGGCCAGCAATGGCACGTCTAAGGAATTTAATGTAGCCAGTCTCAAATGCCCTAAAAATAGATGTATCAACTAATGTACAAGTGAGTCATTGAAAGTGGACATGGAACACAGTGGCCTGCTGGCCAGGGAAGGCCAGCAGAATGTGACTTCTCTCCCAGAATCATCACTGGCTGTTATAGTGCACACAGATGTTAGATCACTAAGAACCTTCCAACACATGGCTGGAGTTGGGGGTCAAATGCTTACAGATTTATGGGGTGTTTTATACCAATACATAAAGAGAACAGAGGCAACCCTTATGAAGGGCCTGCTGGGAAGCAAAGAGAGAGGGTGCAGACTTGGAAGAACAGAATGTCCTCAGACCTAGCACCAAGCAGTTGATGCTGCCCTGCCTCTGAGGAACAGACAGTGAAACCTGAGAGCAGATATCTATTCTGAGAAGAGAAACTGACGCCGCTTCAGCTCACTGCCGGGAATAAATACTCAGACTTTGGTGTGAATCTGAGTTGAAATCCTGAGTCCCATCCGTTTATTGCAGACCATGAAACTTTGAAGTGTTGACAAGTTGTATTTTTCATCAATTTTCCCTTTTTCTCATCATATATGCCTTAAGGAGTCAATGTGACTTAAGGAGTCATGTTCCCTCCTGCCCACATCACCATCCAAGTGCTTAGTAACAGTAGGAATGGCTGCACTCTGCCACCTCCCATCCCAAAGCTTAAGTCTTGGCCAAGCTCTCTAAAGATGAGCACTTAGGTGTGTAGGTAATCCAACAATATTGTTCACCTTCAAGGGGATGTTTTTGAATCATTCTTTAAAATTAAATCTGCCATAGGCAGTACCAGGTTACCAATACATGAGACCCCTCCTAGGGGCTTGTGCAGATTTCCACAGGGAGTCAGCACAACAGGACAAACTTGGTGCCAAGAACCGGTGCAAAGAGCTTTCAAAATGTGTGTGCAGCCCTGCACACATCTCTTGTCTCCTTACGATTCCTGTGGGAACACGCAGGGCTTTCACCCTTACCCTTTGATTCTCTGGGGCATCATCCTTCATCCTCATCCTCATCCTCACCCTTCATTATTGGTTGATGGAGGAGGGTCTATGTGTTACTTTCATTGGTTAATAAAGAAACTGCCTTGGCCCTGATAGGACAGAAAATTAGGTAGGCAGAGTAGACAGAACAGAATGCTGGGAGAAAGAAGCAGATTCAAGCAGTCGCCATAGCTCTCCTCTCCAAGATGGATGCAGGTTAACAATATTCCCGGTAAGACACCACTTCATGGTGCTACACTCATTTAGAAATGGGTTAATCAAGATGTGAGAGTTAGCCAGTAAGAGGCTAGAGCTAATGGGCCAAGCAGTGTTTAAAAGAATACAATTTGTGTGTTGTTATTTAGGGTATAAAGCTAGCAGTGCGGGAGCTGGGCGGGAACACAGCACGTCGCTCCTGTTACTACAATTGGTCCCATTCCCAGAACAGCCTTACTCTGTAACACCCGAGAAATTAAAGTTAACTTTTGCTCTTCATTTGAAAGTATCCCCGTTCTACTGACCACTCACAGTAACCACTAAAAGCCACCCCCAAACCCAAGCCTTCAGGGTTGTAGACAGAGGAAGGATGGACTCTGCAAAGGTGCCATTTCTCTGATTCTTTGAGATTCCCAAGCTGCTCTGGCATGTTTATAAAGCCTAACAAATGTCCTGTGGATCCTTCACCTTCCTTCAAAGGCCACTTGCCAAGCTGAGTGGAGAGCCAGGGAGCATAGGGCACCTTCAGCACCCACTCATTGTCCCTGATTGTCCCTGAAGTCTGTGTTTGTTTGCAGTCGTGGAGGGCACTATGTCTGAACAGCCCAACTGGGACAAGATCTCACTCTCCCCTCAGGCTGACCAAGTGTCTGAAATACTTTGAAAAACACTTAGAGACAAAACAATATTAAAAACAAAACAAAACCATCCATTTCTTAGTGACATGATCATATATGGAAAGTATATTTCGATTTCCCAGCGTACACATCTTAAGTAGACCAGTCACCCCCTGGACTCAAGAGAGCCTGGAACACACTGCCTCCCCAGATGACGTTTCCAAAAAATCTGGACAGGAAAAAAAACACGCAGAAAGCTACTGCCCTGTATGCTGCACAGACCTGAGCTGCCATCTGCAGGCAGCTACACAAAGCCTGACCTCCAGGAGAGGGGTTACAGACTCAGCACCCATTGGTGGGTACGGGATGGCTGTCTCATTACAGGGCACTACCCACACAGAAGCGGCTGTGCTTCACCACCCCGACCTGTCTGCACACTAAAACCTGCTGGAGGGAAGCTTATACAACCGCGCTGTGAAGTACAGTGAAGAACAACTAAGACAGGTATGCAAGTGACTACAATTACCCACGTGACTTCCCAGAATACACTGTGGGTGACTACAATTACCCACGTGACTTCCCAGAATACACTGTGGGTGACTACAATTACCCACGTGACTTCCCAGAATACACTGCGGGTGACTACAATTACCCACGTGACTTCCCAGAATACACTGCGGGTGACTACAATTACCCACGTGACTTCCCAGAATACACTGCGGGTGACTACAATTACCCACGTGACTTCCCAGAATACACTGCGGGTGACTACAATTACCCACGTGACTTCCCAGAATACACTGTAGGTGACTACAATTACCCACGTGACTTCCCAGAATACACTGCGGGTGACTACAATTACCCACGTGACTTCCCAGAATACACTGCGGGTGACTACAATTACCCACGTGACTTCCCAAAATACACTGTGGGTGACTACAATTACCCACGTGACTTCCCAAAATACACTGCGCTTCCACACCAAAAACGCATCTGTGATCTGGGACCAGCCTGTGGTCCTGGATCCCTTACCATCAACCCTGAGTTCTGCCCAGTCTATCACAGAAGGTGGCTTGGAACCCTACCATCATAAGGAAAACAAAATCCACTCACCACACCACTTTCCAAGTCAGGGCTGTTGCCGCCTAGCTCATCAATTTCCTTAACAATTTCGGCTGGTACCTGGGGAGAAAATGCATTGTTAAGTTGAGTCGTAGCCAGGGCCAAACTCCTCTAAAAAAGCAGAGAGCACACGAACCAATATGCAATTCTAGACCAGTTCTACAGACACAACTGCAAGGGGAGAGATGAACTTTTCCAAACACATTTGCTACATTTTTACCTTTAGTTCCACCAAGAAAAGGGAGAAATCTTTAGAGAGAATCTCTATAAATTCTTTTCATGTAAAGAAAAATGCTAGGAGCAGGACATAGTGATAACACATCTACAATTCCAGAACGTGAGAGGTCAAGGCAGAAAGATCATGAGGTTGAGGATAGCCTGGGCTACAGAAAGAGTTAAGGCTAGCCTAGCAAGTCCCAGTCTCAAAAATAAGTGAATAAGGGTCCAGGGAGACAGCTCGGTGAGTAAAAGCACTTGCTGCTTAAGTCGGGAGACCTGAGATTAGATGCCCATAACCCACATGAAACCTGGACACCCATGTGCATATCTGTAATCCAACTACTCCTACTGTGAGATGGGAAAGAGGCAGGAGACTCCCCCACAAGTTCCTGAGTCAACCGGCCTGGGGCCCAGAAGAAATACTTCACAAATGACCTGAACCATGACAATACTCAGGATATCCACTGACCACTGCGTTCATGATGTGTCCAGTACACACCCTCCCATATGAACACAAATACATCAATAAATACTTATAATTATTCATTTAAAATGCCATGGCCATGCCAGGTACCACTGGTTAGCAAACAGTAGTTCCTTCATAACTCTTGGCGGACACATGGGGACCCCAGTCAAAGGACTGTTCTCTTCTCCAGAGGCACCCTCTGCAGTCTGGCTGTCGTCAGCCCCTCAGAACAGAGAGTACTCTCACTCAGCTTTCTTGTCCTTCCCAGGTCTCAGGGCCTGCTGTGTCAGAGAGAGGCAGTGATCCAACTAAACCAGTGTCCCAAACCTGTTCCCCACTCAGGGAGAGTTGAGCCAGTTCTGGCACTGGGCCACTTGCATTTTAATGCTGCATCTGCTGAGACAAGCTAACAGGGCTGAAGCGAGCTAGACATGCGCACCACATGTCCTCAGAGGCTAGCCAGACTCCTGCTCATTCTAGCATCACACAAGACACCCACTGGGGGAAGGTCCCCTCTGCTGTCCTGATCCCAAAGGAGAGACGGCAACTTGGAGGCTGAGTCAAAGCCACCACCATGGGCAGGGGAAAGTAGGGCACATAGCACACATGAGCTAAAATGGTAACGAACTAGGAATAGGTAAAGATGTACCCTTAGCAAACAGTCCTGGAGACCCAGCAGCTGCAGCCAGCTGACCTGGACCATGCTAGAGAAGAGCTGTGTGGCCGTACAAACATACAGGTTTGTGTCCAATGTCTCAGTCTCATTAGGGTGGGGTGGGTGTTACATTCCTACAATCTCATAAAAAATTAATCTTAGTCCAATATTTAAGGACTGTTCAAGCTACATTTAAAAAAAAAACATTTCAGAAGGTAGCTAATGTGATGACCAGCACCATCCAACAAACATAGAGAAAACACCTGCCACTTTGCATCACACTCTGTCGGAGATGCCAGAGATCTTGAGAGCAAACAGACACTTCCTCAAGAAGCTGGGGTCGTTTGGAGATGATGAACACTCATTAAACTGTCAGCGCTTGAATACAGAGCCAGAGCTGTGACAAAGACACACAGGACAGAGAGGGGGACAAACCGGTGCTTAACATAGAGGGGAAGCCGGCGAAGACTGCCTGCCTCCAGCGATGTTTAACTTAACATGAAAAGGATGGAGGATACTAAAAAGCAAAAAAGGAACCAGAAATGCATGTCAGCTGCTAGGACAGCACTGCAAAGCTTGCTACAGGGGAAGCACGGGGCTTTCAGATGGCACTCCCGGAGCAGAGAGCGGGAGGCATGCAGAGACCCAGCCATAAGATGTCATGAAGTGGTGATCTCAGGGAGGCAGTGATTGGCTCTGGGCACATACAGTGGGAAACAATGGTACAATCTGGATACGGAACAGTTGGAAGGTTAGTCTTGGGAACACCTCTTAACTCTGGATGGGTCAGAGCATCACACAAACCCTGAGACAGGCAGGGGTCAATGTCTGAGGACATGGGGCATGGGAATAGAAATTCCTCTTGTGTTCTCAACCTCAGGATGGCTAATGGCAGACACAAGGCCAGCAATAATCTGTGAGAGGACTGCAGGACTCCAAAGATGTGCCATTCAGACTTTTCCTAACATGTAAATGAGAAAAGGGGCCTCAGTCCGAACCCTTCACTGAACCCTAGAAAGAAGTGACCATAGAGGAAGGAAAATCAAGCACCGGTTCAGCTGGTTCGGCAAGATGCTTGCTGAAAAAAGAAAATATTCTGAGGGAAACGAGTAGCTGGAGGTTCCAGATGGAAGCGAAGGTCACTGTGTGGAGAGCTGCTAAGCAGACCAAGTGTGGATGTGAGTTCACGCGTAGCAACCAGCAGCAGAAGCCAGATGAGGCGACCTTGGAAAAGCCAGCTGTGTACCTGTTGGAGAGGCAGGTGATGCCCCTGCAGTGAGGCCAAAGTAGGGTCCATGTGTGGTGATATTTTGTTTGTGCTCTAACAAGTAAAGCTTGCCTAAAGATCAGAGTGTGGAGCTAAGCCACTAGTTAGCCATAGAGACCAGGCGATGGTGGCACACACTTTTAATCCCAGCACTTGGGAGGCAGAGGCAGACGGATCTCTGTGAGTTCAAGGCCACCCTGGGCTACACAAGATGGATCCAGTCTAAAAAACACAAGATGGATCCAGTCTAAAAAAGAAACAGAGCTGGATGATGATGTCTCACGCCTTTAATTTCAGTACTTTGGAGTTGCACGCCTTTAATCCCAGCACTAGGAAGGAAGAGACAGGAAGGGATATGGCTGGGCGGAGAGAGGAATATAAGGCAGAAGAAGATAGGATACACCATTCAGTCTGAGGATTTGTGGAAATAGGATCTTGCCCCCTACACTCTGAGGACTGTATAGAGACAAGAACTCTAGTGGCTGGCTGTTCTGCTCCTCTGATCTCTCAGCTTTCACCCCTAATATCTGACTCCAGGTTTTTATTAAGATCAATGAGAATTCCCAGGATATCCATGCTCATCTACAACGTGGACACTTTAGAGAGGTGGATCTCAAGGGTAGGGGAAGTTGAATATGGGGGTGGGGGAGACAGCGCCTTATTAACCTAAAGCATCAGGTTCCTGCGAGGCTCTTAGCAGTCAGTACCCATTTAAAGCCTGGGGAAGAAGCCACAGGAGGACAGACATCCTCCCTGCCGTGTAAAAGCGTACATGAGCACAGATAAACACTAATGAGCTAACGTGGCAGCCACCTACCTCACAGCCATTTTCAACCTTGTTCTTTGTTTACAAACTAAACTGCAATTAGTTTTTAAGTGTCCATCATAATTCTCAGGGGATCCAGAAGTGAACCACAACTGACTATCAGGGCTTAGGTGCCTCTGCCTGGCTTTGAGAGGGACTAGAAGAGAAGCCCAAGGAAGGTCTTCTAAGGGTTCCTCAGAAAACGTCTCACTACTGAGATGAGACAGACTCTATTCTCCTCAACATCACTCTTGCCTCAGAACACCCCACACAACTGAGGCTACCTACGGAACCAGAGAACCTGATACCAGAGACCGTGTGCTGAGGACACCACCCGCGGAACCAGCGAGCCTGAGTCCAGAGATAGTGTGCTGGGGAGAGCAGGAGGGATGATGAGGGAAGAGGAATATTCACCACACCCAATGAGCCAAACGCGCTGCTTCTAGAACCTTCCATCTGACAGAGGTCTCTGCAGGCATTATGGATACTATATGCTTTGATCTGTTCATTACAGCAAATACTTGCAGGGGCTTTCTTAGCTTCCTCTGAGCTGCTCTACACACCTAGAAACCCCAAAGCACTAAAGCTCCATTACATGTCCTTTAATTAGGCAATCCGCAGGGAACATGAGCCTGCACTGTCCTTCTCTTCATGAGAACCATCATCTCAGTCTTCCTTAGTGTCTTTTCCTGACTGGGGAGCAGGGGGATTGATAAGCCCAGGAGGGGTAGTCAGGATGTGTTGTGTTGGCATCTAAGCAAAGACTGGCCTTTTGCTGTGGCTCTTTGAACTGCAGTGACATCTGCACTCATCCCCCTCCACACCTCCCTGGTGGACAGCCACCCTCATAATAGTTCTGGGAGGTGGCAAGCATCCTGGCTTAATGGAGGAGGGTCAGCTGTCTGTGTTACTTTCATTGGTTAATAGAAACTGCCTTGGCCCTTTGATAGGACAGAAAATTAGGTAGGCAGAGTAAACAGAACAGAATGCTGGGAAGAAGGGAAATGAATCAGTCGCCATGATTCTCTGACCTGAGACAGACGTAGGATAGAATCTTTCCCGGTAAGCCACCACCTCATGGTGCTATACACATTAATAGAAATGGATTAATCAAGATGTGAGAATTAGCCAGTAAGAGGCTGAAACTAATGGGCCAGGCAGCGTTTAAATGAATACAATTTGTGTGTTGTCATTTCGGGTGTAAAGCTAACCATGTGGGAGCCAGGCGGGACAAAAAGCAGGCCTGCTCCCCTCCTCACTACACTGACTCAAACTGCTGTGGTGTTAGAGTGGTTACACTGTTCTCCCTCTTACCTTTGCCTTCCACCATGTGATGACAAAGTAGAAAGTCTCTTGCTAATTTGTCTCAATGCTGAACTTCTCAACCTCCAGAAACAGGCACTAGAACACCTCAGCTCATTACAAATGATTTCGACCCAGGTGCACATATCAAGGTACCAGGTTCAGTCCTTGACATTTCCCATCAGTTCACCCTTCCCAGGCCTCACCAGAGGACTTATCTAGGAATTACACAAATTCCTATCTTTTAAAATATAACTTACTCTGCACAGATTGAATTCAAGACCATTTCTCCAAAGAAGGAGTCAAAGGTTCCTGTCCTAGGCTAACCAGAGCCTGCAACTGTAGGAACATAGTTACATAGACAAATATAATTGTATCCATAGGACGATGTCATTACTCATCACTTGACATCTGTGCTGAATAGTTTTATGTCATCGTGATACAAGAGTCATCTGAAAGAAGGGAACCTCAATTGAGAAAACACCTCCATAAGATCCAGCTGTAGGCTATTTTCTTTTTCTTTTAAATATTTATTTATTATGTATACAATGTCCTGTCTGTGTGTATGCCTGCAGGCCAGAAGAGGACATCAGACCCCATTGCAGATGATTGTGAGCCACCATGTGGTTGCTGGGGATTGAACTCAGGACCTTTGGAAGAGCAGGCAATGCTCTTAACCTCTGAGCCAACTCTCCAGCCCCTGTAGGCCATTTTCTTAATTAGCAGTTGATAGAGGAGGGCCCAGCTCATGGTGGGTGGGGCCATCCAGGGCTGGTGGTCCTGGGTTCTATAGGAAAGGCAGGCTGAGCAAGCCATGAGGAGCAATCCAGTAAGCAGCGCCTCTCCATGGCCTCTGCATCAGCTCCTGCTTCCAGGTTCTACCCTGTTTGGGTCCCTCATGTGGGAGAATTGTCTGTATTCTGTCAATCATGTTTTAAATAAATGCTGATTGGCCAGGCAGGAAGTATAGGTGGGAAAACCAAACAGGAAGTAGAAATGATGCAAGGAGAACAGGAGAATTCTGGGAAGGAGGAAGTTGATTCCTCCCACTCCTGCCTAGACCACCGAAGCAGCAGGATCTAATCTGCCCCACTGAAAAAAGGTACTGAGCCACATGGCTAACATAGATCAGAAAAATGGATTAATCAAGATGTGAGAGTTAGCCAGTGAGAGGCTAAAGCTAATGGGCCAATCAGCTTTATAACTTACAGAGATCTATGTGTGATATTCTTTGGGACTTGCTGGCTATGGGGAACTGGGCAGGACAGAAAACCCCAACAAACAGGACCCTCCATGTTACAGGTCCCTGTCCTGACTTCCTTCAGTGATGGGCTAAAATGCAGAAATATAAGTCAAATAAATTCTCTCCTCCCCAGCTTGCTTTTGGGTATGGTGTTTCATCGCAGCAACCCTAAGATAACATCTATACAATGATGGCTAAATACAATGGCCAAAGCACTCATCTTCTGACTGCAGATAAGATGTGATGGCCACCTCATGGTCCATCATTACGCGTCCCAGCAAAAATGGTTTGATTAAATTTTTCCTGTTGCCTACTTACTCAAAGCTGTGAAAGAAGTAACTAGTATAGAAAATTAGCACCAAAGAGTCAGGCCGTTGCTGTGGCAAACCTTACCATGTGGTTCATAGGCCACTGATTTGTGGGGGAAATGAGGAGGATCTGAAGCTACAGGCTAGAGCATCCCTAGAACATTGTAAGAAAGGCTTCATGGGACATTCTGAAAGGAGTTTAAAAAACCAGAGCATCAGGAGTGTTGTAGGAGCCCGCTTGTTTGTTCCCGGCTGCCCAGACTCAAAATAACCAAACAGAAACTATATTAATTAAATCACTGCTTGGCCTATTAGCTCTAGCTTCTTATTGGATAGCTCTTACGTCTTAATTTAACCCGTTTCTATTAAGTGCTCATTCAAGGTTAGATGACAGGTTTGACCCAAGGTGTAGCTACTAACAGGATGTGTTTTTTTTGTTTTGTTTTGTTTTGTTTTTGTTTTGTTTTGTTTTTTTGGATTTTTGAGACAGGGTTTCGCTGTGGTTTTGGAGCCTGTCCTGGAACTAGCTCTTGTAGACCAGGCTGGTCTCAAACTAACAGAGATCTGCCTGCCTCTGCCTCCCAAATGCTGGGATTAAAGGCGTGCGCCACCACCGCCCAGCCTAACAGGATGTTTTGACCTAGGGTGTGGTTACTTGATACTTTGGATATTGAGAACGTAATTACTTTGTTCTTTGTATCTTGGTAAAGAAGCCTCTTGCCTTTCCCCTCCTCTTTGGAATGGGGTATATAAAGCCTATGAGAGGTAAACATAGAGCAAATCTCACGATTTACTATATGCCCTCCTGACTTTATCAATCATCTCTTATCTATATCTTTCTTAATCCTCACACATCCCTCCAAGCACGAACGAATGAACTGGGCAGGACCCAGCTGATGATATTGCTCGGGTGAACAATACGACAGCAATTAGCTAACAGAACCTTCTAGAGGCCAGGGAGAACTTGGGGGTGAGGATGCTGAAGACGGGGATAGGAGAAGTAGGGGCAGACACAGCTGAGTCAAGACAGCCCCAGCCCTTGTGACTCACCTGGTCAACCGGCACCTCCACCTTCACCTCTGGATCCTCCCTGACTTCCAGTGCTTCTAGTGCTTCCTGGGCCTCCTTATCTGCAGTCTGAGCTTTATACACATCACCCTCTAAGGGAAAATAACAGACAGTCTTTGCAAACCAGCAGAAAAACTCATCCCCAGTTGACATTTTCTGAAACAAACCAAAATTTCAATTCAGCAGCTCCTGAACTTCCTATACCATCAGACAGAAAGAAGCCCAGACAGGGCCCCTGCATTATCTCCATGCCCATCTCTCCCCTCTCTCCCTCTTTCTCTTTCCCCCCTCTCCCCTCCCCCTCTCTCCTCCCCCTCCCCCCTCCCCCCCTCTCTCCCTCTCCCTCTGGCTCTCTTTCCTCTCTCTCCCTTTTTCCCCTCTCTCCCTTCTCTCCCTCTTTCTCCATTTCTCTTCTCTCCCTCTCTCACCGTCTCCCCCCCCTCTCCCTTTTTCTTCACCTGTCTTCTTTTGTTCTTGCTTCTATAGAGGCCTCAGCTCAGTGGGTCCCAATTTTCGCAGTGTCTGTCTAGTTTCTATCTCCATAAAAGTCCTGGCCCCTTGAAAACTTGAGCAATTTCTGCATCCAGAGGTTTCCCAAACTACCCAGATGCTGCAGAGAAGCAGAGCAGTGTGGGAGGGACTTCTCCCACCTGCTTCCTGTCTGTAAGACAGTGTGGGCAGGACTTCTCCTTCCTGCTTCCTGTCTGTAGGACAGAGTGGGCGGGACCTCTCCTTCCTGCTTTCTGTCTGTAGGACAGAGTAGGCGGGACTTCTCCCACCTGCTTCCTGTCTGTACCATAACTAGACACTGCACCAAGTCCTTCCCCCCCTTCCCCCCTTGTCAGTCCGAAAAGCGAGACATGCCTCAGAAAAAGCATCGTTAGACATAAACACCCGAAAGCACATGATAGAGAGGACAGAACAGCAGGAAGAATAAGAGTAGGCGTGGCGAGAGCCATTTTAATTGTTTCATTTCACAGTCAGGTCTGAATCTCTCTGCTAAGGGTACACAGGAACAAGCTAGATGGCCGCTATGTTCGCGGTTCCCTTCTAAAGTCAGGCTCGAATGATACTTGTTCTTACAGCAGGAATATCTGTAGTCCTCATATGCATGTGAACATGGAATTTACTTTAGCTATGACGTCTTTAAGAGCTCCCCTGCCCTCAGCTTTGAAATATTACTGCTCTTGTGGCAGCCTACTCCTGCCCCACAACTGAACACACGTTTCGGAATAAGCTTTGTCTGAGACACACACCATACGTACACACACTTTATAACTCATACACCTTGCAAGCCATACATGTCCACACTACACATATACCACACACCTCCTACATATGCACACCATATAAACACATACACCACACACATCAAACATATACACTATACATACACCACACATCCCATACGTATACATACCAAACAAATACATACACCACACATCCTATACGTATACATACCAAACATATACATACACCACACATCCCATATGTATACACACTATACATATACATACACCACACATCCCATACATATACATACCAAACATATACATATACCACACATCCCATACGTATACACACTATACATATACATACACCACACATCCCATACGTATACATACCAAACATATACATACACCACACATCCCATACGTATACATACCAAACATATACATACACCACACATCCCATACGTATACATACCAAACATATACATACACCACACATCCCATACGTATACACACTATACATATACATACACCACACATCCCATACATCTATACACACATACACCATACATCAAACATATGTAAACTGTACATGCATACACCACACACACCATAGATACACACACAATGTACACAGAGACACTATGCACACCATACATACTACATATGCACACATACAGAGAGAGAGAGAGAACTTTTCACAACCTGTAGGAGAGGAACTGCCCCATTACCTGCACCGCTTTGAACTAAGGGTCCCGGGGCTGTCTTCTTTTTCTCTTTGGCATAATAAACAGAATCCTGGCTTTTAGGTGGTATGCTGTCGTTTTTGAGAGGTTCTTTGCCTTTGGGCTCCACCTAATACGCAGATTAAAAACAAAAGATGTCAGGAGTAGACTACACCTTGAGTCCTTGGTCCTTGGGATGGACAAGGGCAGGAAACCCAGGAACCCAAGAAACCTCGAAGGGTCTCACCACTCCTGTCCCTTCTGGAGGAGGTAAAGGGGATATTCTGCGCTTCCTTCCCCAATCGACTGCTAGAGAGGTCATTTGGCTTTCCAGCCTAGGGTGGGATTGGGTGTTATGGCACAAAGGGACTCCTCATTCTTTGGGACAAACTTTAAAGCCTACCAAAAGCTGCTGCTCAGAAGCACAAAAATCTTAAAAATTCAACCATGCCACAGATAAGTAAAGGGAACAGTATTTAATTTTTATAATCTTTATACTATCTGTAGACAATGGCAAAATGGTCCTCATAAAACTTAAGGTTTTTAATGTCCCCCAACCCAATCATTAGCTATCTTCATGCTGCAAATAATATTTTTTTTCTTTTTATGCATCTTAGTTCAAGTATTTGGAGGCAAATTCAGCCAAATATATAAATGTTCACTTCAGACAAGGCACTGAATAAAATGTCCCTGCTGGTTTTAAAGAGTATTGCATAAGCCAGAGTTGTGTTGTAAGTACAGAAAGCAAGGCCTCAGCAGAACTGGTGTCGGGAGCAACATTCCAGCACACTGTAGGGTGCCCTGTTCAACACGGACAGTATATGAGTCCAAAGCTCTATACTGTGCTTGTGAAAGGCCCATTGAATGACCAAGAACCTCTGATTTGTACTAGAAGTACGCTTTAAAAGACAGGTTTCAAACTTAAAAGATGATCCATGCCCAGTCCTATAGAGTACTGATCTGAGCACATATGGTCCAGATGTAGAGACCATCCACGAACCATGGATACCATGCCACGAACATCTCTGCATGCCTCCTTGTTCTAGGCTCTGAGCTCCACAAAAAGCTCTGTCCTCCTCCTCCCTCTCTCATGGGTTGGTCTGGCTCCTCCCAGTGACCTGAAAGCTATTTGCTACCCAGGGCCCTCAGAGACCAGGAGACACCAGAACCAATAACAGTGGTCACTCGTCTTTCAAAACTTACTTTCTTCTTTGTTTGTGTGTATTTATCATTGCCCCCAAACCTCCTGAAAGGCAAAGACAGGCAGTTAGTACATTCAAGCTCTCTATAAACTATAGGAACATCCTTGACCTAGAAAATGTCCTACTCTCTACACAAGATCTAGCCAATGACCACAGCCATCTCCTAGGTGGTCATTTCAAAGGCCAAGAGGTCTTTGAAAGTCAGAGATTTATTAAGGAGATGGCTGTCCAAGGGTAGCATAGAAACAGGATTTAGGATGCTGGAGGGAGCCAGACTTTTTTTTTTCTTATTTTATTAAAAAAAAAAAACTATCTTTTTTCATTTTACATACCAATCCCAATTCCCACTCCCTCCCCTCCTCTCACTTCCCTCTATCTTTCCCCTATACCCCCCCCATCCACTCCTAGGGTAAAGCACATTGCTCTGAGGAAGGACCAAGGCCCTCCCTACTATATCTAGGCTGAGCAAGATATCCCTCCAAAGAGAATGGGTACCAAAAAGCCAGTATAAGCAGTAAGGATAAATCCTGGTCCCACTGCCAGTTGTCCTGAAATCTGCCCCAGCCATACAGCTGTCATCTACACTCAGAAGGTCCAGTTTTGTCCTATGCTATTTCCTTCCCTGTCAAGCTGGAGTTAATAAGCTCCCATTAGCTCAGGTAAGCTATTTCAGTGGGTGTCCCCATCATGGTCTTGACCTCTTTGCTCATATTCTCGCTTGTCCCACTCTTTGACTGGACTTTGGGAGCTCAGCCCAGAGGGGAGCCAGTCATTTTAACAGTTTTGATGCTTTCCAAGGCATGGATTATTCACATAGCTCTCACGTGTTCATGTAGCTCTCACCACTACCCAGTGAAGCAAGAACCTGCTGGCTTCTCTGCAAGGGACCAAGACACTCCACCCCTCAGAGCTGATCAGTGGCAGAACTGAGATTCAAATCTGCCTGTTCCTACCCACCACATGTGCCTGCTCTGACTGGTCATTTTGCATGCTTCCATACCCCTTCCTAACTCATGGGCACTGGGCCTTCACCAGCAACTGCTTACACACTGCACATACCTCTCTGGGCACTTCCCTGGGCTGTCTGTATTTCCTGTGTAGACCCTGGGCTCTCGAGGATTGTGTATTACTCCATGCCTGATTTTAGAAATGCCAGGTTCAAATTATATGTGTGTGCACATATGTAAGCATATTTATATAAGCATAAATGAAAGAGGGGGAAGGAAGGAGGGAGGGAGAGAGGGAGGAAGAGAGAATATGTAAGTATAGATAGGTAGGCAGATGATAGATAGATAGATAGATAGATAGATAGATAGATAGATAGATAATATGGATAGATGATAAAGATAGGTAGGTAGGCGGATTATAGATAGATGATAGATAGATAACACATCAAGTTTTACTACTGAATAAAATCAGTATCTGAACTCAACATGTTTTGGAAAGGGCTTAGAAAAGAGACAAATGTCAGCAACACTCAAAAGAGAAAGACACAGAATTTAAGGAGATGGCTCAGTGGGTAAAGGCACTTGACACTAAGTCTGACAGCCTAAGTTAGATCCTCAGAGCCCACAATGTGAAAGGAAAGAACTGACTCCCACAGTTATCCTCTGATCTCCCCCATGAATCATATGGCATGCACCCCTAGATAAATATATAAATGGATAGGTAGGTAAATGATAGGTAGGTAGGAAGGTAGATAGATAGATAGATAGATAGATAGATAGATAGAAGATAGATAGATAGATAGATAGATAGATAGATAGATAGATAGACAGGATGCATGTTGAGTAGATGGGTAGACAGATAATTTTTTAATTTAAAGGACAGGTAAAAGTTATACTCACTGCTGGATGACAGATAATTTTTTAATTTAAAGGACAGGTAAAAGTTATACTCACTGCTGGACCTCACTGGGAACCCGTGGGGACTTCCAGTAAGGAATGGCTTTGAAAGTCTCCAGTCCTGCAGCAACATAAAAAGAATTGTCTTGCAAATCCTTTGAGTTGTCCAAAAGATGCCCATCCATTGTATACAACCTGTGAACACATGAAAGAAGATGAGATAGGATTTGGCAAATGGCAGCACAGGACAGGGAGTACTTTGTCACCTGTGGTAATGACCAGCATGTCAAATATCTGAGAAGCTACACTCCCCAGCGAGCATGCAAAGGGGAGAAGCTGCACTCCCCAGCAAGCATGCAAAGGGGAGAAGCTGCACTCCCCAGCAAGCATGCAAAGCGAGGCAGGAAGCCTGTGGAAGCCACTTTTCCTGAACTGCACACTTTCCACTTAGAGCTTTTTAATTAAAGTGTATTTTTCATTATGCACAAGTCCTCAGAGGATCTTGAGAACATGATCAGCTCTTGGTTGGTATTCAATTAATTTTAACTAGTAGCAGCTAAAATTAATACAAATTGGCTTACATTGTTGTAACAATACTTTGGAAAGAAATCAGCATTTGTTAGCAAATAATGGGCCTTTTTCTAATGACCCAATGACTTCACTCAGTACTCTTTGGCAAGTACTCACTGCCTGGTTAATTTAGGAACAGAGTCTGTTCACTCCACTGTTGCCCTGTTACATATAGAAACAATGACGGGGTTCTACGCAAATGGAAATGACAGCTCCTCAGAGTCAAGAGTCCTAGCAGCCTACGAAGGGAAGTACAAGGTGCTCAGTCTGCTGCCTCCTGAAAATCCACATGTAGATGGCATGGTTCCCAGCCCACAGCACTACTAGGAGGTGATGGGACCTTTAGGAGGTAGAGCAAATATGAAGAAGCTGGACTAATAGAGTCAGGCTCTTCGAGGTGTATTAGAACCGCACCCGCTTCTCTGTGGCCCCACAAGGTTAATAGCATCTTCAGCCACGTACTTCCACCATTATGTAGTGCCTCGTCACAGACCCAAAAGCAATAGGCCAAAAATTGGAGAATGAAACCAAGGAGGCCGTGAGCAGAGGCAAACCCAATGAGCCTGTGAGCAGAGGCAAACCCAGTGAGACCATGTGCAGAGGCAAACCCAGTGAGACCGTGAGCAGAGGCAAACCCAAGGAGACAGTGAGCAGAGGCAAACCCAGTGAGATCGTGAGCAGAGGCAAACCCAATGTGGCCGTGAGCAGAGGCAAACCCAGTGAGGCCATGAGGAGAGGCAAATCCTTTCCCATACCAAGATGATTACCTCCGGTATGTTGTCATAGAATAGAGAGCTGACTAACATGGGTTTCAAGAGGAAGAAGATATAATTCAACCATGGACTTCCCAAAAACAAAAGGAACTTTGCCTTGCAGAATGGAGGCAGGCTACCCATTGTGTAGGAAGAAGTGAAGTATCCTGGAGTGGCCAGAGGGACTTATATAGAAACACAAAAACCCAGGGGTCTGCCTGTCCCTGAGGGCAAAATGACAACAGGACGCATAAACACATAGCAGAAGGAAAATTAACAAAGAGCTTGGATTCAGGGAGGGGCGTTCATCATTAAACAAAGGAAGAAGAGTTCCGTGAAGTGGAGAATAGGCTGGCCACTGTGGGTAAGATGTGACAGATGGCCCTCTGTGTCATCTGCTGCAGCCATGTAGGATAAGTCCAGAAGAAGAAAAGGAAAGTGGACGCAGGACACCAGGAGCAAGTGGAACCCCTCACAGAATTAGCCTTCCCTCCAGGGACCCTCTGATCCCTGGGAGGCCACTGAAGCATAGACTGACTCGTGAGCCCAGGTCAAGGTCGAGCATTTCATTTCTAGCGAGTGTCAGACTTTGTTGGTGCTGCTCCTGGGGTCTCTCCTGAGAACCTCTACCCTGGCTTGATTCTGGAAGAAACACAGGAGAGCGTGGTGGACAGGAGACCCAGGAAAGCCACGGGCAGAGAAGGTGCTAGGATACAGCAGAGGCTTCTGCAGGAAACTCAAGCCTAGAAGTCTGCTCTGCTCTCATCCTGCTGTGGTCTCGGGACAACTGAAGTTTATCCAGATACTGCTGGAGCAAATACAATGGGGAATAAGACAAGGAAGCAAGAGGTCTCTGCAGGAGATGACCGAGGGAACACTACTGTGGGTGTTTAGGTCAGAGGACAGTGAAATGTCCTGGGCCTAACAAGACTCCAGAAGAGGTACCACAGCCTGATAGCCCCAGTGAGGAAGAGGTTTGAGTAAGGACTGGCAAGCCCAGAACAAGCCCAGAGAGGAGGCTATGAACCACTGGCACAAGAAGTATTCGAAAGACCAAGGTCAGAGAAACACAGCTGTACAATAGTGATGCTGAGACCTGAGGGCTCACTCAAAACCATTATCAGTCTTATGGGGAAGATGACAGCATGCCAAAGGGTCACACTGGGACCAGAAGTGTTAGAGTGGTCAGACAGAATTCTCACCAATATGATTAGGAAAGATTGCCAACAGGAAATAAATGCGGTAGGGGGAAGATGAAACAGGAGAAATGCAGATTTGAAGCTAGAGTAGTGAACAAAGAATTATGAGGTGGGTGATGGGGTGGACAGAGAAACCCAGGCAACAACAACCAAAGAATGGAACACCCACCCAACAAAGACGAGACCAGAGATCTACACCAATAAAACCTTAAACATCTTAACACCAGATGCCTAGATCCCAGTCCAAGAACACAAACATGGACAACCATGACAAGATGCCTCTTACAGCGACACGTGATGGCCTTTCCCTATGCACCATATCTACCCAGACTTCACCTTCCATCACAACTGCTCCTCTGTGACCACATACAACATGCTACATACCGGATGAAGAGCTGAGCATGCATGATGACTTTTAGAAACCACTAATATCACCTTCCAGATGAAGGAAAAAGGTATCAAAGAAGTAGGTATTCTTATGGTCACAAAAGTACAGGTGGCAGAAGACAGACTTGACCCTAAAGCCCTGCCTAGAGGCTGTGATTCTGGTCTGATTCTGAACCCTTTTGCCCTGTAAAAGCAAAACTCCCTGACTCATCTGCTGAGTTTTGCCTTAAAGTCTGATTCCCCATGTGGTCCCCCACCTTCTACAGGCCACCTCCTCCAGCTCCTGCCCAAGTCGGGGGTCTGGGAAGCAAGGTTCATTGTTGTTCTTTTGTGATGGTGGTGGTTGTTGTGTGCACAATGAGCGGTGCATATGAGAAATCAGAGGACAGCTTTACAGAGTCAGGTTCCCCACTTCCACCCTCACAGGGGTAACAGGGATCAAACTCCGATCGCTAAACATACATAGCAAGCCCCTTACCCATTGAGCCGTCTTCACCTGAGACCCCTCCTTATGACGCTGTGCCCTCCACACAGAGCTCATGACAGTGCTCAGTGTTTGGTGAACAGATTAATGAAACGAGCTTCAAATAAAGGTGGGACACCCAGCTCTCTCCCTCCAAGCCCTGATTTCCCATGAGGGTGCCTTACTTCCGAACACCTCCCAGAGGGAAGACTTTCTCTCCAATCATAGCCAGCACGCTGCTCCAATCTGACAGGCTGAATTTGGGTATAATAATTTTTATAGGTGGGATAAATAATTTTCCGTTTGTGAAAACACTGTAGGGATAGAAGAAAAAAAGCACCATTATTACCTTAAAAGTGAGGGGAGAAACACTGACAACCCAAAGAATAAAAAACATAGGTGTATTTATAGAAATGTGAAAATATTCTGATGCACTGATCAACCCTTAACAAGATACCAAGTCCTACAGAACAGTCTTCAAGTCTGATGCCATAACAGAGGTGTTAGGAATATACTGTTTTGATTATTATAGTGTATTGTATTGTATTGTGTTGTATTGTATTGTGCCAGGGTCTCATGTAGCCCAGGCTGGTCTCAATCTCACTCTGCAGCTGAGGATGACCCTGTGCTTCTGATGTTCCTGCCTCCACCTCCCAAGTGCTGAGATTATAGGTATATGCTTCTGGTTTACACACTGCTAGGGATAGAGCCCAGGGCTTCAGGCAGATGAGACCACATTGTAACAACTGAGATCTACCCACAGCTCAGACAGTACCTTTCCATATAGGTAAAGGTACCCAAACGAATGGGACAAAATTCTACTTCTTAAAAATAATATGTTTCAGCTGGGCAGTGGTGGCACACGCCTTTAAGCCCAGCACTTGGGAGGCAGAGGCAGGTGGATCTCCATGAGTTTGAAGCCAGCCCTGTCTACAAGAGCTAGTTCTAAGAAAGCTAGGACTGTTACACAGAGAAACCCCGTCTCGAAAACACAAACAACAAATAAAACACACAAACATACATACAACCAAAAAAAATCTACGTTTCCTATGGTGATTAAATTAAAAGAAAATAGTAACCTATTAGAAAATTAAAGGAGAATTATATATGAAAAATATAGTCATATCCCTTGTCACAGAGCCTAGAGACAGTTGACACACACCTGGCTTCACCCCCAGTCTTCAGGCAGCCATGTGACTTCAGTAGGCTTAGCTCATTATGGCCATATGGGGAAAGTGTACTGAGAAGTTTCTTGCAAACTCAAAGATTCTATTTCATTTGCTGTGCCCCAGGAATTACCATCCCTTGAAGATAGTTTCAAAGGTTCATTGTTTTCATTAAATTAAAGTAAAGTCGACCATTTGTGGTGGCACACACTTATCATCCCAGCACATGGGAAGCTGAGATCAGAATATAATATGTTCTAGGCCAACCTGGACCAACAGAAAGAACCTATCCCCCCCCCCCAAAAAAAGTGTAATGTACAAGGCTTATGTCTTTTAGCTCATGCTTTCTTTAACAGTGTTGTGAGCTCAACTGTAGAACTCTGATTTGCAAGTTTCTTTGTAATCTCTTGGATTTTTTTCCTTAAATGTGAATGACTTAGACTGTAGTTAATATATTTTCTTCTCAGAGAGACTTATAAACACTGGTTGAATGTGTTGTCCCAATAGACAGAATCTACTTCCTCCACTAAATCTCTGGGGCAAGAGAGACTTGCAGCCAGCCAGCAGCAGCCTTTAGCTTCTTCAGTATTTAAAACATTGCCTTGAAAAAAAAAAGAAATGGAAGGATATGATGCAGAGTTGGCACAGCATTTCCAACAACTGCAAATGATTGATAACAAAATTTTTCTATATAACGGAATCCATAGAGACAACTAACCCGGGCTCATAGGCGCTCACGGAGTCTGAACCGAGGAGCCTGCATGGGACCAACCCACACCCTCTACATACGGGTGACAGTTGTACAGCTCGGTCTACTTGTGGGACTCCTAGGAATGGAAGAAGGTCTGTCTCTGACGCTTTGGCAGGCTTTTGAAAACCTATTTCTCATAGTGGGTGGCCTTGCCCAGACGTCATACAAGGGGAGGAGCTTAGTCTTACTGCAACTTGATATGCCATACTTTGTTGATACCTATGGGAGGCCTGCCCCTTTCTGAACAGAAACAGAGGAGGGGATGGAGGGGGTTAGAGGAGAGGTGAGGGAGGGAATGGGAGGAGAGGAAAAAGGGGAAACTTCAGTGGGAATGTAAAATAAGCAACAAATTTAATTTTTTTAAAAAAATCTTTCTAAATACAGATTAACAAAAATAAAGTGCTTTAACACAAGTGTGTGATATTTTGCCTGTAGGTTGTGTGCGTGCGTGCAAGCGCACATACAAGCAGAGGATAAAGGGTAACCTCAGCTAAACATTGGCCAGCTTTTTTTTTTTTTGAGACAGGGCCTGGAACTCTCCAAGGAGACATAATTCTGAAGGCAGTGAGAAAAGGAATATACTGCTTAATCAGCACACCACCTGCTGTGTGCATTTATACTTTCAGCAATAGAGGAAAGGAAACATTTTAAATCTTGGAGGATGGGAAATGGCATATGGATCTAGATGGCTTTTAGCCAGCAAGAAATGGTGGTAGCAGTCCATTGACAACATACTTCCCACCTGTGTTATCAAATTTTCTGATTATTCAGTTAAACAAATACCCCAACTCTGGGACCCAGCTGAAGAAAGACAGTGGCTTCCCCAGTCATAGAGGCTCAGTGGAAAGTCAAGTCCTTCTGACTCCAAATCCCAGGTGAGGTCTTCCAACTAAGCATCCTTCCCCCAATGGATCTCCCTTCTCAGAAATAGGTTGACGTGCACCACTGCAAGAAACCCAGGGCCATTTTTATTCCTGTTCCAGCCACATTCTGCTGTGCTGGGGAGAGCCATGAATATCACCTCACACGTTGGGCTTGCTCCCTCTTAACTTCCTCTTCCACTGGGAAAGCAAACACTTTTACCCAAGATCAAATTCAAGTTGCAAGTTGAGTGGAATAGGAAAATCCTTCAATACCAAAGTCAAAGCCATGGTCTCTAGAGTTGACCCTAGAACTGCACACCCGTTTCTCTCACCACTCCATCCCTTCTGGACAGTGAGGTCATGAGGAGACGCGTCCATCTGTCTCTCGGTCTTCCCTGGCCTGACACACTCAGAAAAATATAGGCAGCAGGAGTCAGATGAAGCACATGCAGACAGCTGAACCTCCTGTTCTCTATGGGTCTCAACTTCCCCACTTCCAAAACTGGAAACCTGGTATATTTTGAAGAATTCACAACAGCAGCTGAATCACCAGCTACAGACTCCAGCGGGACACCTTCTAGAAGCTCTGCTGTTATCTCAGCAAACTGGTATGATTAAAGGGGGAGCAGGGTCCAAGAAGTTATCTAGGTGAATAAAACACTAGCTGAGCAAGGGTGAGAACCAAGTTTGGGTCCATGATGCCTTTCTAAAAGTTGGGAAGACATAGCAGCCCTCAGACCCCCAACACTTGGGAAATAGGGGCAGGGATAAATCATGTTCGAAGTACAGTGAGTGAGCCTGCCTCCGTGGATAAAATGACTTGTGATTGAAGAAGATACTCAATGCCAATCTCTGGCCTCAGCATATACACATATACACATGTGCACCTACACATATGTGAACATGCATACATGCACAAATACCAAGCATACAAAATAAAGTGGGAAAGGCTAGGAAGATGGTTCAGTCAGCAAGTGCTTGTCTTGTAAGCATGAGAATCTTAGTTTGATCACCAGAATCCACAGAGAGGGGGGGGGGGAGGGAGGGGGAGGGAGGGAAGGAGGGAGGGAGGGAGGGAGGAAGGAAGGAAGGAAGGAAGAAAGAAAGAAAGAAAGAAAGAAAGAAAAGGCCAGGTGTGATGGAGTACAATTGTAATCACAGCCCTGAGGAATCGGAGAGAGTCAGATTCCTAGGGTTTGCTGTCCAATCTCAAAAACAATGGAATACGGCAACGGAATCTGTCCCTTGACCCTCTACATATTGGTACATACATGTGTGTATGCACCTACACACATGAGAACACACACTACACACACACAGTAGAGCACACAGTACAGAGAACTCAAGATATGCTCATGAACTGACAGTTAGGTATATTCAAAGCCTCTTCCCCAATCATGAGGACTCCAAACGGCTTCCAAGCATAAAACTAAACTCTGGGTCCCACTGCAACTCCCGGGCACTGATGCGACTCCCCTTCTCCCTTGGGAGAGACACCATCACTATAATGCTTCCCAAGGAGACACAATGGGGCTCAATGACCTAGGTAACAATCTTGCACTTGGCAGGAACTGGACAGGGAAAGGCCAGTTGTTTAGTCTGCTCAGACGACCCCTGGGTGGCCTCCAAGCCTATCACAAGAGTCTCTGCTCTCATTTACACAGCATGAGTCCTCACGGCAGAAGGGAGAAAAAGATGGTGTTGGACTCGTCAGCTTTTACCTTGAGCAGCTCTTGTTCTCACTTCTACCACAAATACAGCCTTGGCAAAACCTGTGATGTAATGCAGACCAAGGGGAGCTGCTCCCTGGCCCTGCCTCCTCCTCCTCCTCCTCCTCCTCCTCCTCCTCCTCCTCCTCCTCCACAGAAACAGATAACTCTCTCCTAAGACCTACAGCAAAGACCATCTTCCTCACTCTGACACCTGTATCTTCCCAGTGTCTCCTAAACACTTGTTCTGCCAAAATACCTCCAAGCCTAAGGTCGCCATAGCTACCTACTTGTGTATGCAACCACCACTTGCAGTGGAGAGGACCACATTGATCAAGGAACTCAGGTGGGATTCTAGATGCTTCTACTCATTGCATACACTGATGTTAAATTTCAGGTCCAGGTCTCACATCCAAAAAATGAAGGACTGCTGAGACCGGAAGAGCCTCTGAATGAAGTTTTCAACCTGAGGCTCCACCAAGAGCCATGGCAGCAAGCCATGGCCCAAGGCAAACAGATGTCCTGAGAGCTACGCAGCAGATATGATGTTGTGGCCACAGTCAGCTTCTAGCCAAGCTCTGGGGCATGGTCTTAATTGTCATCTTTTGTCCCCTGATTTTTCTTGCTTGCCAACAGACAAAACATGTGCCTGCCACCCCCCAGTTCCAATGACCTCATCTCTTTGGCCTAAAACATTCTCCCATGAGGACTAGAGAGTCTCTGGGAAACCATTCCCAGGATTCATAAACTTTTCACCTGTTCACTTCTAAGAAACAATGAAAGCAAAATTCTCTGAACCCCACCCCCCACACGCCATATTCTTTACTTCTCCACATGAAGCTAAACTGGGAGTGGGGACCCCACTAGAGAGCAGCATAGGTGAAGGATGTCCCTGCAGAGTAGGGACCCCACTAGAGAGCAGCATAGGTGAAGGATGTCCCTGCAGAGTGGGACTCTCAGGCTTCACAGTTAAGACCAGAACCAGGTCCCACTTCTGAGCCCCAGTCTCCAACTGAGTGACTTCCCATTTCCATGGCCAGAACCATCTGCTTGGTGACCCCTATGACCCACCAAGGAGCTCCAGGCTTTGCCTGCACAGAACAGAAGCCACACTCCACAGAAGTGTCAGCCTTGCCATGCCGCTGCAGGAGAAGGTCAGAGTCCTTTCTCCTCTGAATCCCTGACACAGAGAACCAGATGCAGAGAATGGCTCCCTGACCTCCTCTGGCTTCCACAGTCGCAAGCTCTCCCAGCTAAAGTGATGGGCTTTTTCCCTGGTGGAAGGCTGCTGCATTTATATGGCTATTTGGGTCCATCTAGTGGAACTTCTCAGCACTCCTATCAGGAGGTGAAACACATCTTCTGCAAGAGTCACTGGCATAAGGGGCCATGGCCGCAAGCTGTAGCTACAGAGATGTGTCTTCATTAGCCAGGACTCGCAAGTCAGCTATATTCCCTAAGAATGTGGCACGTTCTCCACAAAAGATGGTGTCAGAAAAGCTTAAAAACACTGAAACTTCTGTTATTTTAGAGACGCCCTGGTACATTTCAAACATTTTTAAATTTCATCCAGTGTTTGTGTATGCACGAGTGTGTGTGCACACATGTGTGCGCACGTGAGCTTGTACATGTCACAGAACTTGTATGAAGGTTACAGAGCAACTTGCAGAAGTCTCAATTCTCTCCTTCCACCATGTGAGTCCAGAGGATGGAACTGAGGTCATCAGGTTCAGTAACAAATATGGAGGTGATGTGGGATTCCGCTCTGTATGCTGGGAATACCATTGGTTGGTAAAGAAGCTGCTTTGGGCCTATTGCAGTGCAGAATAGGGCAAAGTGGAAATTCCAAGCAGTTAGAGGAGAAGAGAGTAGGCGGAGTCAAGGAGAAGCAATGTAGCCACCAAAAGAGACAGATGCCCACCCCAGAACCTTGCCAGTAAACCAACAACCTCTTGGTAAAATACAAAATAATAAAAATGGGTTATTTTAAGATGAAGAGCTAGCTAGAAATACACTTCAGTTATTGGCCACACAGTATTGCAAATAATATAGTTTCTGAGTGATTATTTCAGGTCTGGGCAGCTGGGAACAAATGAACAGCCTCCGCCAACACGTATGAATGTGTGAGTATATAACCAATGTGGAGAACAAGGGATGACTCAGAAGTCGGTTCTTCTCTGTATAGTATCCAGGGGTTGAACTCAAGTTGTCAGGCCTGTGGGCAAGTGCCTCTGCCCACTGAGCCATCTCGCCAGGCTCCTGGTGTTTTTCTTTGCACTTACCTTTTCTCAGCACATTACAGGTCCCAGAAAGGCGCCAGCTGCTAAGAGCCTGGCTCTTCTGAGGCCTGGCATTTTCAAGAAGCGGTATGAGAACCCCTTACTTGTGTTTCTAAATGACTCCCTTCTAGAAGCTGAAGGAAGGCAAGGGACATCCAAAGACACAGTCCTTGAGACTTTGAAAATGGTGGGAGAAGCAATGCTTGCCTAACTAAACCATTCCCTTCTCTCTTTTATTAAGATTTATTTATTTATTATATATACAATGTTCTGTCTGCATGTATGCCTGTACACCAGAAGAAGGCGCCAGATCTCATTACAGATGGTTGTGACCCATCGTGTGGTTGCTGGGAATTGAACTCAGTACCTCTGGAAGGGCAGCCAGTGCTCTTAACCTCTAAGCCATCTCTCCTGCTCCTTTCTAACTGCTTTTGTACCTCAAGGAAACTGTTGCAGATCATGGCACCCCAACTGGATGGCATTCTCAGAGAAGGACACTTGAAGGACAATCACAGAGAGGTGGTATGTGGTCGGAGAGACAGAGGAGAGGGGGAGGACATAGAAGAGGAAGTGAGGAACAGGCAGAGAACAGGTGGCCCAGCTGGAGAGCACTGCCTATGAAGAGCTGGGACACGCTCAGGTTTGACATTCATGACACTGAACTCACTTTATATGTCGGGTTGTCCTGCTTTGTGTTTGCCACCTGGAAGGCACGTTGATGTCACAATGTACCACTGGCTTGATCTGCAACACAAACCACAGGGCTCAGAGTTCGCTTCAGGTGAGCAAATATTAGTCAGTACCAACAGCAAGGACAGCGGAATCCCAAAACCACCAAGGGTGTCGGTCACCAAGGACAGGTCCCCAGGGATTCAGAGAGGTGGGTATGCACCAGGAGTCCAACCTCTCCGGCAGGTGACAGGTGGGTTGATAGAGGCTGAAGGCAATACACTCCAAGCAGTGGGGAGCGGGAAGGAGGTACAGTGTCTCTGGAAAGAGTGACAGAGGAGGACGTGGCTCATACTGGGGGTACACTCAGCAAATGCACTCTGGTGGCCAAAGGTATCTTCTCCATGCTCTGATCGACAAATTACAGGGTAGGAGGAGCGGACAAGTAGCTTCCATTTTCAGACCAGAGTTAAGTACGGTAGCCCAGTGGGACACTTCCCTACGTTCCCCAGGCCTGCTGGGCTCTTTCCTGAGAATGAAAATGCAGAGGCAAATACAAGGCCTTCTCAGGACACTACCTCAGGCTATTCAAATAGCAGGAAATTTGGGGGATCCTGGCACAGAAGAATAACAGCTCTCTTCCTCCAGCCTGCGGGCCAGGAGTGCACAGAGAAGCAAGAGAAAAAGATTGGGGAGTCAAGGCTGTCCCTGAGCTGGTCAGCAGACTGGCCCCACACCCTAGACCAGAACCCCTGTGGGTCACTCCAGTGCATCATGGACTCCGCTAAAAGGCTGCCCTGACCACTGGACTCTGTCCCTCAACCCACCAGGTGACCAGCATAGGTCCCCACCTCTTGCCTTGCCCTTATCCCCAAGCACACAGGTCACACCTTCTGTCTCTGTTTATATCCCACAGCTGTTGTGTGCCTGGTTCAAGTCTTCCATACCCTTCACTTGGCAGTAGGGTCCACCCTGCCTGAGTCCCACTTCCCTGTCATCCCCATCACTGACCGCCACCCAGCATAGGAGGTCCCACCTGGGGACTCAGGCCACTAGCACTGTGTCTCCCTGCCACGCCTATGAGCCACTCCATACTGTCAGTCAGTAACCCTAACCTGTCCCATGACACATAGGCCACAGACTCAGCAGCCCCTAAGGCCCTGTGGCTCAGCATAATCCAGGTTTTCTTCTTCCCCATACCCGCCACTCTCCCAAGTTCAAAGTTATCTCTAGAATGATACAAGAGGAGTCATCCCCCATGGATACTGAGAACCTGGTGGTCCTCCTACCTCACGTTGTACACTGCATGGGGCACCCTCTCCATGGGGCTGTCCTGTGTACCTCCCCACACACACAGCAGTACCAGGTGGGGTCTTTCCACTCCTCACTCTGCTAAGCCCCCCACTTCCCAGGCTATGAGCCCCACCTCCCAATCTGCATCCACTAGAAGCACAGAGATCTCGGGTCTGGCAAACACCTCCCTCCCACGCTTTCTATAAGACTCTTAGAACCAGGCTGGGGGTCTCGCCTCTACTGAGGCCTTTGTTCTGCCAGTTTCCAGGCCTGCCTTGCTCTGCCTTGAGTAAGGGGACTCAGGAGCCTGCCCCACCCTCATGCCTCTCCCTCCCAAGCCTTCCCCAGCTCAGCATGAGATGGAACATAGCCTGCTAGTTCAGGGAGCTTGTCTGAACCTCTCAAGATGAATGAAAAAGTCACAGTCAGATTGTCTTCAAAGAGAGTGACAGACAGAGACACGGAAAAGTAAGGGCCAGGCCATCACACACACACACACACACACACACACACACACACACACACACACACACTACAGAGGCAAGAATGTACTGACCTTGAACCCTGGAAACTCTATTTAGAAGAAAGGAGTGTGGCGTGCTGGGCCTGGAGGAGATGCAAAGCCTGTGGACTTTGGCATCTGCTGTATCCATTGGTTATCAGTGGCCAGAACAGAGACATGACCAGGAGGCAGAAAATGGGACAAATGGCACAGACTCACAGGAGGAAATCACAGGCTGAAAGCCAGGTGATGCAGGTCAGAGCCCAGCTCTCCTGAGCAGGGATGTGTGACCACCGCTCTCAGCAGCACTTTGCTAATTTTTTTTTTCCAAGAGAGGGTTTCTCTGTAGCTTTGGAGCCTGTCCTGTTTCAAGGCTGGCCTTGAACTCACAGAGATCTGCCTGCCTCTACCTCTGCCTCTGCCTCCCAAGTGCTGGGATTAAAGGCATACATCACCACCAAAGAATTAGTTTGCTAATTCTTTACAGTGCAGAAGACCTATCTTACAGAATTCTTATGACCATGAAATGGCAGAATATTTTATTTTTAAAAAAATGCAATGTGATATCTATCATATTGTCATAAGTTCTTAAAATTAAGTTAACTTGAGAGTCCCCTAACACACCCAAGGAAGGAGAGGCAAGTCTACTTAGGCATCTTGGTCTCGTTTTGAGCCTATCAGATTTGCTGACCACCCACACATATCCACTCCAGACCTCACCATCGTAGACAACGACAATGTGGAGATCCATCTGTGCAGCTTTGAAACTTGGGAGATGCTCAGTCTCCTCTCACGTCTGGCTCCTCTCAACTGAACTATCAGCATCCCTGTGGCCAGCTCTCGGAGTCTTATGTGGAGCCCCAGTTTCTTATCCCCCAACTGTTCTTAGCCACTCTGTCTACCCCTAGCTTTTACCTAACCTTTTGTTGCCCCAACCTCGTGTGGTGTGTGTGTGTGTGTGTGTGTGTGTGTGTGTGTGTGTGTGTGTGTTGCCTGCTCAAGTATACAGGTGCCTATGTGCATGCATGTGGAAACCAGAGTCAACCTCAGGGGTCATGCCCCAGGATCACCCACCCATCCCTTGGTTTTTAAAGTAGTGTCTCTTGCTGGGACCTAGAGCTCATCAACCGGCTTGACTGACTAGCCAGCAAGCCCCAGGGATCGCCCTGTCTCTGGAAGTGGGGGAGGTAGAAAGAGTATAAAAGCCAAAGGTAAATTAATATTGCTGCAAGAAATTATCTTCCTGACAAGGACATTGCATTCATGACCTCATGGTAGCTGTGGTTGCTGGCTCATGACCTACACAAGATGAAGCATTCAGCACTCCAGCACAGAGAAGGGGTGGGAGGCGACTCCTAGCTGAGGAGCTAGTGGCTGTTTCTGGCAGCTGAGGGAGGGTCAGTGTGGCCCATGGTATGTTGCCCATGCTCCAGGGGACGGTGCTTTATACCCACGCCCACATGGGCAGCAGTAATTAGTGGACAGATGCGCACCTCCAGGCCCAGTTTTTGGTTTCTTCAGACAGGATCTCACTCTGTAGTCCTGACTGACTTAGAACTCAATGATACCCCCCTGCCTCTGCCTCCAAAGGGCTGGGATTAGGGATGTGCCACCATGCCTAGCCAGCCCCAATTTTTCCCATGGGTGCTGGGACTTGGATTACTGACAGACCTAACTCCCCAGACCCAACCCTTCCCTCACAGCGATCAGAGACAGGGTACCCTGTCATTGCCCTCCTCACGCTCTGCACTCCAGCTGGCCTTCGGGGGTTCTTCCCTGTCTCTCCCCATTCTTCTTTGTTTGGGGGTTTTAAGAATTGTTTGATCACCATTGGTTATTACCATTGAGTTATTTCACACATGAATACAATGTATTGAAGTCCTAGCTACCTCCCATTCAGCCCGTCCAGCTCCTCCCAGCCACCCCCAATACCCCAGTTCTAACTTCATGTCTTATTTTTAGTAATCCATCGAGCCTAACTAGTGCTGCCCAGCAACTGCCAATATCTCCTTAGCTTAGATGCGGGCCTCTTACATCCCTTCCTTCTGTAGGCTCAAGTGCTGTCTGGCGTGATCTTGTGCGAGTCATGTGCTAGCAACCACAGTGGCTGAGAACTCACGAGTGCAGTGTCGTTCTTAGGGCCAGAAGACATTTTGTAGCGATAGTCTCTGATCTTGAGCTCTTACAGTTTTTCCATCCCCTCTTGGGAGTTGGGGGTGTGATATAATCTCCCCCTTGGGGCTTTGAGCACATCACAATCGCTTCTTCTCTGCACTCTAACCCAGTTGTAAATCTCTGCATTGACAGCTGTTGACTGTATACAGAAGTTTTTGGGAACAAGGAATGACAGTTGGACTGACCTGTGTGTACAAAGCTAAGTGTTTAGAAAGTAGCTCGCAATGCCCCTGTCCTCATATCCCTTATGGTTTTCTTGTTTTGTGGCTTAACCATCCTTTTGAGTGTGAGCCTCCTTGGGGTAGGAAGTCCCACAACAGAATGGCCCTACTGCTGACTACGGAGCAGCCCCCGGGAGATGGTGGTGACTACCCATGAAGCTGTAAGTGGATGAGGGAAAGGTACCAGGACAAATGCACAACTCTGCTAGTAGCAGAAACTCCAGTAGGGAAGAGATCCGCACAACTCTGTTAGTAGCAGAAACTCCAGTAGGGAAGAGATCCAGGGTAAGGGAGACCGGGGGCTGCAGAAAGGGCATGCATGTATCTACTATTGCTCTGCTGTGTGTTGCATGTCAAATGATGCAGACCTGCACGGCTGCAGTGGTAAATGAAAAGCTGTGAATATCAGTAACGGGCAAGCATTGACAGACCTGGTCTGAAAACAAAACAGCAGCAATTGTGCTCGGAGAAATTCTACTGGGTACAGACACCCTAGGAAGGGCTTTCTGCTTGATTGCCTACAACTATGAAACAATGGGCTAATTGCTCCTCTGATGTGCTAATGACTCATTAACCCTGATAGCACCTGCCTAATTAAATAACAGCAGCTATTAAGTACATACTCAGGATTCCCATCCCCTATCCTCCATGTAATCAGGTCCTAAGAGTCTAACTGCTGCTGTCGGATGGGAAAGAAAGTCTCACTCAGACTTAGCTCTCATGAGTCACACATCATAGTCTGCCAGAGCCTGAAGTACCCAACGGGCTATAAACAAACCTACTGCCCAAGGCGGTAAAACTAAACCTAGAACTGAGCCCTGAGGATAACCATGGAGTATTTCTCACTGCAGCTACAGGACAGCTGCCAACTGGCTCTGAGCCCTGGGGTAAGTTCTATAAAAGAGCATAACTCATCTCCCAAACAACCTCAAGAATACCCAAGTGACAAGAAACCAGATTGTACAACCTGTCCAGGAATGCATGGCTCCAAGGGCTCTTGTTCATGAAAAAACATCCAAAGACATGTCCTCACAGGGTATAGCCACGGCACCATGCTGCCAGGGTGCTCGGTGACGCCTGGGATGGCGCTGGCTCTTGCCCTCGTAATGTGGGGTTCAGCTGCTAAGCGTTCCTCGGCCTGCTCTTGGGGTATATGATGCAGTCCCCAAGAGGGAAAGGTCCAGGTGGAAGACACGCCTTGGCAAATGCCTGGAATAGGTTAAGGGATGGCTCACCTGACAACTGCTCCCCGTCATTGTCCCGCAAAGTCTCTGCTCTTTCGCTTGCTCTCACACTTCCACCGCCCTCGGGATGCATCCAAACATCTCTTGCTGAGCAAAGCCTGAGCCAAAAAGACGCTAGCACCAAGGAGAGCTGTCCTCACATAAACACACCCAGAAAGAAACCAGATAATGAGCAATAAACTCTTCTACGCTCCAGGGTTAAGTGTGGAAGGCGGGCAGAGGTGTCCACGAAGAAAGCTCTGCCATTAGTAGGTGCCTAAGCTACTGTCTGAGCCAATTAATATCAAAAACGGATGGGTGCCAGGAACCACGAGAACCTCAAGGAGCATGCCATGGTCTACACAGTCCTTGTTCTTATTTGTAAAAACATTTTTACTGGCCTGAAATGCACTATGTAGCTGGGGGTGGCTTTGACTCCAGATTCTCCTGCCTCTACCTTCAGAGTATGGCACTATGAAGGGGCCAAAGCACACGATTATCCTGTTCTATTTTATTTATTTATTAAGGTTTTAAATTCATTTTATGTATCAACCACAGTTCTCCCTCCTTCCCCTCCTCCTGCTCCCCCCACCTAGCCCCCACCCCCCAGACCCCCACTCCCCCATCAACACCTACCTCATAGAGGTTTAATGCTTCTCATTGGGGAGTCAACAAAGTTTGGCATATCAAGTTGAGGCAGGAACAATCTCCTCCCCTCTGCATCATAGGGAATGGACCAGTTCATGCACCAAGGATAAATCCCAATCCCACCTGCCAGGGGCACCCTGTTTCTCTTTATCTATGTTTTGCCTCTAGGCTTTTTACCCCTCTTTATTTTATATGTCTTTCTTTCCTTTTTACTCTGTGACTGGCTGGATGGTTTACCCCTGGCGTCTCTCTCTCTCTCTCTCTACTTCTTTCATTTTTCCTTCCTTTTCGAGCCTAGATTTCTCCTATTTATTCTCTCTGCCCTGTCAGCTCTGCCTGTCCTTCCTCTGCCTCACTATTGGCTGTTCAGCTCTTTATTAGACCAATCAGGTGCCTTAGGCAGGCAAGTGAAACAACTGCAACACATCTGTACATAACTAAACACACATCTATCCACCATTAAATAAATGCAGCATACACTAAAGGAACACATCTTTACACAGTGAAAGCAATATCCTGCAGCATAAAAAAATATAACACATCTGTGCCTAGTTAAAATAATATTCCACAATAGTACATCTTTGGGGAAATATTTCGATTCTTTTCCATTAAAAATGACAAGCCATGGGACAAGCTCAGTGGGTGAAGCACTTACAAGTTTGAACCCCCAGACCCTCAGGACCCACAGAAAGGCAGGTAACACGCACATCTGTAATCCCAGCACTCCTACAGGGATGTGGGAAGCAGAGATGAGAAAATCCCCCAGAAGCCCTAAAGCCAGCCAGCCTGGCTTCCACAAGGGTTCAAAAAACCTTTCCTCAAACAAGGTGGGGGGAGATGAGGACACTAAAAGTGGTCACCTGACCACTGCACACACGCTGTCACGTGTGCTGTGGCATGCACATGCCCATGCTAGTGCATACATACATGCTCACACGGAGACAATCTTTTAGTGATGAGCTGTATGACTGAGCCAACTTAGTGTGCTTTGTAACGTCCCCTCTGGGAGGCTAGGAAGTAAGCAGGAGTACACTGCTCAGTCCAGCTGTGCCTCCATCGCCATCATGTCCACCAACTAGCGGAAGCCACTCTTTTCCCAACGGGAGGAACATGCATGCTAAGGGACACATGTGTGTCACACACACACACACACACACACACACACACACACACAACCAAAATGTTCTTGGCAGGAGTTCATCCTCCAAATTCTCATCCATTATGCCCTTTTTAAAAAAGATAGCAAATAAGACCCAGGCACTCCCGGGTTGGTGATAATCACCTCCTGCCAGGCTCTGATGATGGCCATTGTGAAAAGAGTAAGCGGGTGAGAAGAAAGTGATCAACTAGAGAAAAGCAAGACTAGAGGATTCTAGTTTAATCTGAGGCATGTTCGCCACAGTTACCCAGCTCTTTCCCTCCACGGGCCAATCACGCACTTGATTAGTGATCACAGCAGCTTCTGTGCCCGCCTGAGAGAAGGGAGCCAGGTCTTCAGATAGAGCTAGAGAGAGAGCAAGAAGAGGGCAAGCAAGCAGGCACTGGAGGGAGTGATGAAGGTCCAGCTGCCATCTAAAGCTCCTTCCCCATCTCCCACACTAATCCTGGAAACCCCCGATGGTCCCTCCAACCCAAGACAATTTCTGAAATGCTTCTAACAAAAGCTCAGAAGTCATTAACCCTCACCAAGCCAGCACAGAGATCCCTGGGGAAAGAATAGTAGACCCTGCAAAGAGAAGGGATGTAAAAGGAGGTCCCCCCCAAAGAGATGCCTTCTTACACAACAGGGGGGAAGACAAATTAGAACAGACATAACGAAATAGGAATCGGGAAATTGGAAAACCAGTAAAGCCAGATAATGGTTCCCGAAAAGCTTAATAATGTTAATAAACCTGCAGCCAAAGTGAACTAATTCAGCTCATCTTATTAGTCTCAAACACTTACCTCCTTCAACTTTCTCATCTTTGGAGGTTTTCTGGGAACTATATGAATATAGCTGCAAAAAGAGAGAGAGAGGAGAAATCATAGTTAGAAAGACAGTACTCACTCTGAGCCGTGGAACCTCTGCCAAGAGGAGCCAATGTCAGCAAGGAAGCAGGCAACCCCACAGGGCAGGAATGAATCCACATCAGAACGTGACAGCTGCGTGTCATGGGACACACATGTGTGTGTGTGTGTGTGTATACATATGTATGTATGTATGTATCACTAGAGTGACCTTAGAAATAATGGTCTAAGGCTGGAGGGGTGGCTTGGTGGCTAAGAGCACTGACTGCTCTTCCAGAGGACCCAGGTTCAGATCCCACTACCCAAACGGTGACTCACAACCATCTGTTATCCAAGCATAATGAGATCTAAGACTCCTCTTCTGGCCTTTGCAGACTCCAGGCATGCACATGGTATACAGACAAAATGCAGGCAAAATGCTCATACATACTTTTAAGGAAAAAAAATCTTTTAAAATATATTTTAAATATTTGTATTTAAATAAATAGTTTAAGTAACAGTAAATAATTATCTAATTCACTGGCCTTCTGACTTTTTTGGTGATGGCGGTAATGTTCAGTTGGTTAGTTGGTGGACTGGTTGGTTGATTGGTTGGGATTTGGGTTGTGTTTTCTGTGAAATGGCCTGACTCTGTAGTCCAGGCTGTCCTAGAAATTGTCGCTTTCCTGCCACTGTCTCTGGGATTGCCAGCACACAAGCTCCAGGGCTATCTCCACTTATAAAGGAGCGAACTCAGAGCAGGGTGACAAGACTATGAGGCAAGGGGGACATCTCCATCCATCACCCTCCGCTTGAGGGCAGCCCTGGAGCTAGAAACCTGCCTCAAGCCCTATGAAGTGACTGTTTAAGGTGACCATTTCAAGCAGGTCTGTGGGATTTCCCTCTGTATGCTGTGATTACCATTAACGAATAAAGAAACTGCTTTGGACCTATAGCAGGACAGAACTGAGCTAAGGGGGGTTGGGGGGGACACGGACACCTAAGCTGAATGCTGGGAGGAAGAAGGGCAGAGTCAGAGAGATGCCATGGAGCCCCTCCAGAGACAGACACCGGTTGGAATCTTGCTGGTAAGCCACAGACACGTGGCAATACACAAATTAATAGAAATGGGTTAAACTAAGATGTAAGAGTTAGCCAATAAGAAGTTCGAGCTAATGGGCCGCCAAGCAGTGTTTTAAATAATACAGTTTCTGTGTGGTTATTTTGGTTCTGGGCAATGGGGACAAACAGGTCATTAATGGAGCAGGATCCTAAGCTCCTCAATAATCCCCCTGTCCTATTTAGGGTGACTATGGCTGTGGTGACACACCATGACCAAAGCAGCTTGGAGAGGAAGGGGTTTATTTCCCTCATGGTACATATAACAGTTTATCATCAGAAGCAGTGAGGGCAGGATCTCAAGCAGGGCAGGAGCTGATGCAGAAGCCATGGAGGGTGTTACTTACTGGCTTATTCCTCCTGGCTTGCTCAGCCTGAGTTCTCAGAACCCAGGACCACCAACCTAGGGATAGCCCCACCCACAATGGACTGAGACCCCCCCCCCCCATCAATCACTAAGAAAATGCCCTACAGGTTTGCCTGCAGCCTGATTTTTAGAGAGACATTTTATCAGTTGAGGATGCCTCTTCTCAGATGGCTCTAGTTTGTGTCAACACAAAACTACCCAGCACCGTCAGCCCCTTGTCAACCTGACAGACAAACACTTCACTTTCCAGTTAGAACCTTTCCTTCCTAATTTATGCCCAAGATGGTATGTTATTATTAATATCACAATATAAAACATAAATAATTTTGAAAGTTCCACAGTCTTTACAAGTTCAATCACATTAAAATTTCATCTCAAGGTTGAAGAGATGGCTCAGCAGTTAAGAGCACAAGCTGCTCTTCCATAGGACCTGAGTTCAATTCCCAGCACCCACATGGTGGCTCACAACCATCTGAATTGAGATCTAGCGCCCTCTTCTGGCGGCAGGCATATAGGCAAACAGAACACTGTATGCATAATAAATAGTGTCCCAAAAGTTCCATCTCAGCCAAGTGGTGGGGACTCATGCCTTTAATCCCAGCATTCAGAAGGCAGAGGCAGGTGGATCTCTGTGAGTTCAAAGTCAGCCTGGTCTACACAGCAAGTTCCAGGACAGCCAGAGCTATACAGAGAAACTCTGTCTTAAGAAACAAAACAAACAAATAGTTCAGTTTTTTTAAATACCCAATTCAAAATCTCTTTTAAAAATTCAAAGTTTCTCAACTATGGGCTCCTGTAAAAATCAAAATTAAGTTAAATACTTTCTTACTTTGAGAAGGAAGAGCCAGGGCACAGTCACTATCAGATCAGAGCAAAACCAAACTCCAACTTTTTTTTTTTTTTTTTTTTGTATTTTCGAGACAGGGTTTCTCCTTAGCTTTTGGTTCCTGTCCTGGAACTAGCTCTTGTAGACCAGGCTGGCCTCAAACTCCAAGAGATCCGCCTGCCTCTGCCTCCCAAGTGCTGGGATTAAAGGCATGCGCCACCACCGCCAGGCAAACTCCAACATTTTAAATCACTCAGGGTCCAATATTGGAATTCATTCATTGATGTGGGAGTGTCATCTATCTATCTGTTGCTTTCATTGCTTAATTAATAAAGAAAACTGCTTGGCCTGATAGGACAGAATTTAGATAGGCGGAGTAGACCAAACAGAATGCTGGAAAAAGGGAAGTGAGGCAGTCGCCTTGATTCTCCTCTCCGAGACAGACACAGGTTAAGATCTTTCCTTAACCTCGTGGTGCTACACAGATTATTAGAAATGGGTTAATCAAGATGTGAGCGTTAGCCAATAAGAGGCTGGAACTAATGGGCCAGGCTGTATTCTGATCTGAGGAATCAAGAGATTTCACCTCAATGACGCTGGTCTTTTCTTAATCGCCACTAATTTCTTAACTCTGGCTGACCAGCATCAGTTGTCCCAGTAAAGTAAAGGTTTTACTTCAAGGGTTCTGGTCCCTTGTTACTCGCAGCTGATTCTTCAGCCCCAACTGACCAAAACCACAGATTCTCAATTCAAAATAGCAAGCAGCCCTGATAGGGTCTTTAAGCTACTCTCAGACTTTCCTCTGAGACTTCACAAGCCAGGCCTCCGTCGTCTGCCTTGCTCTCGACATGTTCCACCAGGCTCCCATAAAACAGCTCACCAAGTTTTGAAAGCTCCATGGCTTTTTTTACCCAAAGTTCCAAAATCCTCCCACAGTCCTCCCAAAAACACACGGCCAGGTCTGTCACAGCAATACCTCACGGTCCTATTACCAAGTCATCTCAGGTAGGGCTACTATTGCTGTGATGGAACACCACTGCAAGCCAGCGTCCAAGCAGAACCCTGGCTCTGAAAATGAGACCACCTATGCTTGTCCATGGGGCTTCATAGATGTCCTTGTCTTACCAGAACTTTTGACCATTAGGACTTTCAAATAGTTTTCTATGTTCCCACAGAATAAAGCATGATTTAAATGGCAATGCAGAGTAGCTGAAAAGTCTTACCTTAAGGCTCCTTCTTTATATATAAAAAAAAAAAGTATGCTTTGTTTGTTTGTTTCCGAGACAGGGTTTCTCTGTATATCTCTGGCTGTCCTGGAACTCACTCTATAGACCAGGTTGGCCTCGAAGGCACAGAGACTCACCTGCCTCTGCCTCCCTGAGTGCTGGGATTAAAGGTATGCGCCACCACCGCCCCCACCCAGCTAAAAGTATGCATTTTTCTATTGTTGCCCACATTGTTGCTCAGTTTTAACCATATGCAGGGAAGAATTACTTTAGGATGGAAAGATAGAGGAAAAAGATATAAGTATTCAGCACAGAGTCAAGTCACAAAGCACAAAGCCTGATCCTCACAGAGAGGGTAGACAAAAGATGGTTCCCCACAAGTGGGCAGTTGGGGAGTCTCCAGCCGGATGGCATGTCCTTGTCTAGGGTGGACAGGACCTCAGTCCTGTGGTGGTTGTTTTATATTTATGTTATATATAGGCATGAGTGCCTGTGTGCATGTATGTATATGTACCATATGCATGCCCTGTGGTCTCAGAAACCAGAACTGGAGCTGAAGGGAGTTGTGAGCCACCGTGTAAGTTCTAAGAAACCAGAATCCTATGCAAGGAGGAGGCACATGCCTTTAGTTCCAACACTCAAGAGGCAGAGGTAAGTGGATCTCTGTGAGTTGGAAGCAAGCCTGATCTACAGAGCAAGTTCCAGGACAGACTGGGCTACATAGAGAAATTCTGTCTCAAAAAAACAAAAACAAGCTATATATATTATAGAGAGAGAGAAAGAAAAAAAATTTACATGTGTATTGTATATATATTGTATAGTGTGTGTGTGTGTGTGTGTGTGTGTGTGTGTGTGTGTGTGTATAAAGAATAGTTCACTCTCTGATCTTTGAAACGTGTGCAGACCCAGCAAATCTCAGTCTGTGGATATTCAACCTCAGACTCTGCCCCTCACCACCTCTGCCCACAGGCCTGTCCTTCAACCTTCCTAATCCTCTCAAACTTTCCATTTCTCCAAGTTTGTGTTGCTAGTCAGCTCTAAGAATCTGGTTTTCAAATTTTCTTGTAAACTGACTTCCATTATATTTTTACAAAAACGCAAAAATAATCCAGAAAATGAAGGCACAAAAACCACAAAATGCTCTCCCGATAACATAGAAACAGATCAGAGAGCAGAATGGTGAAAGGCGGTACATGAAACCAGCAGCAGGCTTTCTTCCGGGTCTGGTGGTCACTGAGCAATTTCCTTGGTTTTTCCAGAGGTGGAGGAAGATGTCAAGTGGCCCAGGGTTCAGACACTTTGAAGAGGGCATGTACTTAGCCCGTGGGGTGCTGTGGCGTGGGCACTCACCTCCTGATTCACTGAGAGTGGGTCTCATTTACCAGAGGTTACAGTTCAGTGCCACTCAGAAGGGGTCCTTGTCCCCTCCACCCAACCTTGACTGCCTCTTTCCCACTGCCTATCATGGCCTGTCACCCCCTCTCTGTCCCCCCACCCCCAGCCTTGATATATGTATGACAAGACAGACCCAGGAAGGCTTGAACTTAAACAGCACATTTACAACTGTATCCCAGCATGCAAACCTTTCTGTGCAAACCTTTCAAGCCACAGGCCCCTGGTCATCACTGGGGGACACTCCAGGATGGCTAGCTTCCCTTACAACTGTTTGTTAGTGCCACTATTAGAATCGGATTCTCGGGTGGATATTAACTGCTCAGCATCTCAGCAGTTAGACTCTAGGGCCCGTGCACCAGTCTGATGTCAGGGCAGAAGTGTTTCATAGTTTTATTCAGCAGACGGGAGGCCGATTTCACATGTCATTAACCTAAAAGATGAAAAATAAATAAATAAAGCCTAAATGCTTCTCTGTGTTGAGCTCATCCTCAAATGCCATGCATCTGTTTCACGGCCATAAAAGCACCTGGATAATACAAACTAATCTGCACCCCTTGCCGCCCTCTGGGATTCTCTGAACCGCACGTTATGTGTGTAGCCTGTTGCTCACAAGGACAGTGACTCCTACTGCCAGACGCCCTGGATGAGGCCCTGGGTGGGGTGCACTGCTCCTGAGAGCTGGGCAAGGCCCTGGGTGAGGTGTACGGTGTGCAAAAGTCTGGGTGGGGTGTGCTGCTGTAGGCACCTGAGTGGGAAGAGAGCTCCAGGGCTGCACTTACTCCAGTTTCTTGAAGCGCTCACGGCCCGCGGCCACGTACTTGCCACCGGCCTGCAAGGCATCCAGCCCGAGCACCTGGTGACCGCGCGTGGGCGTGTAGAGCCTCCGCACTCCGAAGGGCACATCCACCTGCTCGGTCAGCTGCTCCAGCAGGACCTCGAAGTTGGCTACGCGTCGCCGCGAGAACACGAACTTTCGGCCCACATAGAATTGGTCCCCGTTGCGGTACACCAAGATGGTTTTGGCCGGCGTGGTGTCCACCAGGGCATAGGGCCCGCGCGTACCCATGACCACTGCTCACTCACGTCGGGACACGCAGAACCATGCACGGGGACACCCAGCACACCCGCCGAGAACCCACGGGCTCTCTCGGGCTGCGGGCCACAGGTAGGACTGGGCTGCCAGGACGGTGAGCCTTGAATCTGCAGCATACGCTGACGTCCTGGGGCGATTGTGACTGGGCCGGCAGGAGAAGAGTGACAGGGAGCCAGGCAGGACAGGAAGGGACTGGTCAGATGGACATAAAAGATGCAGACAGGATTCAGAACGCAGACAGGTGAGGACAGGGAAATAGATCGGGAGCAGCAGGAAGCTCATAGAGGTAATTGGCATGAAACAGAGACCACGCACACACAGAGATGAGGACACAGATCTGACACACAGAACCAGGGCCGGGAGGATGCAGGAAGAGCTCAGATAGGTAGGTGGTGGCTACAGAGAAAAGAGGGAGAATCTGATGAGGTTGTGTTTGCCTCTAATTCCCGTACTTGGGAGACAGGAAGATGTCTGTAAGTTCGAGGCCAGCCTGGTCTATATAGAGTTCCAGGCTAGCCAAGACTACATAGTAAAACACGAGGGAGCTCTACAGGCATCAGACAGGTGACATGATAGGGCTCAAGGAAGAGAAGAAAGAGAAAAGGTGGCCGTGCTGACTTCCCAGCGTGTTACTGCCCTGTACTCCGCTAATACTCGGGGTCGTTGAAAGTATGTCACCTTCTGAGCCTCCTTTCTTGCTTTCATCCCACGCTTGTGTAGGACTCCAGGCTCAGCGCCACATGATGTCAGGGACTGGCTGCCGTGGCCACTGGTGCTCAGTGCTTCAAATGTGTGTCATTTCAGGATACACGGCAGATGGACTGGGACGGGGGAGGGGGACCTTTGGTAAAGTCCTGGATGACTTTATCTCTTTTCTAAGAGATAACCTTTTATCAGGGATGACTTTGTCAAGAGATATCCTTTATCTCTTGAACAAATGATTCTAGAAATACTTTCCTAAAGGCTTTATGGCCTAAACCAGCTCTCAAAGCCCTAAGGTATGGATTACCTATTGAATCTACACATAACTGGTGCAGAAAATTGATACTATCACCTTTTGTAGTGTTTTTCCAGGAGGCTATCCACCATTCCTAGCCATGGCCAACTTTTAAGCTACCAAATGGGCGTCAACAGGAGACAAAGGCCAGTTTGTAGGGTGACCACTTTATTGAACCACCAGGGCTTCAGAACACTGAAGACAGCGGGTGGGGACCACTACCACGGATGTGCTATCTAAAGATTTGCCCGGAAGCTTGGTTTCAGAGAGAACTTCAGCGTGGGCTTCTCCCTGAGGGGTCGCAGCAAACAGATGGAACTGGGGTAGCCCTTGAGCCGAAGGCGGCTTACACCCCCATCAGGGGTGATGGTGAGCCTGGCATGAGTGATAACATCCTGGAGCTCCAGAGTCAGGCTGTCCAGCACGTGGTTCTGGTCGGGAGAGAGCTGGAAAAGAGGGCAGATGCAGGTCCTTGGAGGAGAATGGTGTGGAACTCCCCCAGTGCAGTCAGCCCACCGTGGCCTTAGGGGCTTTAAGAAAAGGTTTTCAGCAATAATTTGGTCTAACATAAATCTGCTGGTGGGGAAAGCACACCCATGTGACAATGGCATGCATGTATGTGCAAGTGTTGTGGTATTTTTTAGTAAGGAAATAATCAAATGAAGAGGAGATGAAACCTGGTGTCTTATAAGAGCAACAATGAATAAATGGGACCTCCTGAAACTGAGAAGCTTCTGTAAAGCATTAAGACAAAAAGGCAACCTACTGAATGGGAGAAGATCTTCACCAGCCCCACATCAGACAAAGGCCTGATCTCCAAAATATATAAAGAACTCAAGAATCTAGACATTAAAATTCTGAATAACCCAATTAAAAATGGGGTACTGAACTGAACAGAGAATTCTCAATAGAAGTTCAAATGGCCAAAAGATACTTACGGTCATATTCAACTTCCTTAGCAATCAGGGAAATGCAAATCAAAACAACTTTGAGATACCATCTTACACCTTTCAGAATGGCTAAAATCAAAAACACCAATGATAACCTATGCTGAAGAGGATGTAGAGTAAGGGAAACACTCATCCATTGCTGGTGGGAATGTAAACTTGTGCAACCACTTTGGAAATCAGTATGGTGGTTTCTCAGGAAACTGGGAGTCAACCTACCTAAGGATCCAGTGATTCCATTCTTGGGAATATACCCAAGAGATGCCCAATCATACTACAAAAGTATTTGTTCAACTGTGTTCATAGCAGCACTATTTGTAATAGCCAGAACCTGGAAACAACCTAGGTGTCCCTCAATGGATAAAGAAGGTGTGGCACATATACACATCAGACTTCTACTCAGCAGTAAAAACAATGACATCTTGAATTTTGCATGCAAATGGATGGAAATAGAAAACACTTTACTGAGTGAGATAACCCAGACCCAAAAAGATGAATATGGTATGTACTCACTCATAAGTGGATTCTAGCCATAAACAAAGAACATTGAGCCTATAGTCCATGATCCTAGAGAAACTAAATAATAAGGTGAACCCAAAGGAAAATATATATTTATCCTCCTGGAAATAGGAAATAGACAAGATCGCCGGCAAAAGTTGGGAGCGCGGGATGGGGCTGGGGTGGGGAGGAAGGGGAGATGGAGAGAGAGAAGGGAGAAGGAGAGGATTGGGGAGAGCTTGGGGGAGTGGGATGGTTGAGATTGAGAAAGGATAGTTATGGGAGCAGGGAAGAAGATATCTTAATTAAGGGAGCCATTTTAGGGTTGGCAAGAGACTTGGCTCTAGAGGGGGTCCCAGGTGTCCAAGGGAATGTCCCCAGCTAGGTCCTTGGGCAGCAGAGGAGAGGGTACCTGAACTGGCCTTCTCCCATAGCCACACTGATGAATATCTTGCATATTACCATAGAACCTTCATCTGGCTATGGATGGAGATAGAGACAAAGACCCACATTGGAGCACTGAACTGAGCTCCCAAGGTCCAGATGAAGAGCAGAAGGAGGGAGAACATGAGCAAGGAAGTCAGGACCACGAGGCGTGCATCCACCCACTGAGACAGTGTGACTGATCTAATGGGAGCTCACCGAGGCCAGCTGGACTGGGACTGAACGAACATGTGATCAAACCGGACTCTCTGAATGTGGCTGACAATGAGGGCTGATGGAGAAGCCAAAAACAATAGCACTGGGTTTTGATCCTGCTGCATGTACTGGCTTTTTGGGAGCCTAGTCTGTTTGGATGCACATCTTCCGAGAGCTGAATGGAGGGGGGAGGGCCTTGGACTTCCCACAGGGCAGAGCACCCTGACTTTTCTTAGGACTGGAGAGAGAGGGAGGGGGGAGGGGGAGAGTGGAAGGAAAATGGGAGGAGGAGAGGAGGTGGAAATTTTTAATAAAAAAAAAAACTGGTGTCTTCAGGGTTACTTGAACCCTCACTACACCCTTGGTGACCACTCCCCTTGTCCAAGACACTCTAGCGTGTATCAGGGTATCCATCCTACAGATGGGCACAGCATGGAAGCTTTAAGTGTACTGGGTGCCCTTCATATAAGTTAAATGCAAACACTTGCCTGTGTGTGCATGCTTAGCACATGATAGATTTTTGTTTTAGCAAAATTTTGATTGTTAGGCATGTGAAAGTCAGAGTCCACCCTCCTCTGTGAAAACACGGGTGTGGCTTTTTACAGTCCATTCATTTACAGTTAAACTGAGCAAAGACTTCCAGGAAAGTTCATTTGAAGAGCTAAAATCCTAGCTACTCAGGAGGCAGAGGCAGGAGGATTACAAGTTCAGGGCTGGCCTGAAAAACTCATCAAGATCCTGTCTCTAAAAGTTAAAAAAAAAAAAAAAGAGACTATGGGTTGAGTTCAGTGGTAGGGAGATGCCTAGGGGTGGAGCTCAGTGGTAGGGAGATGTGTAGGGGTGGAGTTCAGTGGTAGGGAGATGCATAGGGGTAGAGCTCAGTGGTTGGGAGATGCGTAGGGGTGGAGCTCAGTGGTAGGGAGATGCGTAGGGGTGGAGCTCAGTGGTAGGGAGATGTGTAGGGGTGGAGCTCAGTGGTAGGGAGATGTATAGGGGTGGAGCTCAGTGGTAGGGAGATGCATAGCAATTCAAGATCCCAGGTTCCTCGAGACTGAGAGTCAGTCCTCAAATTGTACCCCACGAACCTTGGTGACAGGAAGCAGTGGCTTCCACTTATGGGCTGGGAGGATCCATTGGTTCCTGACCATGTCTTCCTCTTCCTGCGTGGTCAGGATGCACCCATCCACTTGGCAGCTGTCAGGAGAATTGCCTGTTGGAGCAAACAGAGACATGGAAACTGTTTCCTTCGGCATAGCTCAGCTTCTAGGATACAGATAAATTAATCAGATCCAAATCCAGAAATGGGCTGGGAAGGCAGTTCTGCAGCAGAACACTTGCCTAGCATGGATGCAGCCCCAAGTTCGATTCCCAGCCCCACAACACAACAAAAATCAAGAACAAGCCAGAGTTCTCTCTAAACAAGAAGTATAGTGTAGGAGAAAGGAAAGAACAGAGTTGAACTGCTTTTTAGAATGCAGAGGTTAGTTGTGCAGTTCCTAGGAATGAGAAACAGCCAGCATGTCTTAGTTGGATGCATCCATACCTTGAAAGCTGGATGGACTTGATAAGCATCACAGGCTGCAAACTAAATTGCTTGCTTACTGCTACATAGCACCTCTGAAATCATGATGGATCTGGGAAGTACTTGCCTTACAATGTCACTTTGTAATGTGCTGTGGGACAATGGTCTATACCCTGTCACTTGTATTTTAAATAAATGCTGATTGGCCAGTAGCCAGGCAGCAAGTAGAGGTGGGGCAATGAGAATTCTGGGAAGAGGAAAGTTTCAGTCTGCAGTTGTGACCCAGGTGCAGAGGATGCAAGATGTGACTGCCTCGCTGAAAAAGGTACCAAGCCACGTGGCTAACACAAACAAGAATTATGGGCTAATA